AAAAGGTTTATATTGTGCCAAGGGCAGGCCAGGGCCTGCACACAGCACACAGGCAGTCCCTGCTGCACCGCGTTTACAGGCTAAAATTTAGGCATGACACAGCCAGCGAGGGGGACAGCCGAAAAGATCAGGGCAGGAAGATTTGGAGGATTTGGCAAAGAATAGGATGGATTGGACAAATCAGTTGGGCCAGCAAACTATTTGCTTTTCAGTTTGCTCTGCATTTCAGTAGAGATGAGCATTTCAGAGGGATCTGAATGGGGGGGCCATGGTAGGATTGAGCAATCTGCTGGCATGAATGTGTTTCATGCACGGGAAGCTGCAGTGGGAAGGGTACCAGGGACGTAGCGTCATTGGACTGCTCCCCACTGCAACCTTGATCATAGCTAATCGATGTGCTCTGGTGGAGGAAAATATTGGCTTTCCAGCGAGCAGGATCTTTCTTGGAACAAACTGCTGGTGCGTGGTTTATTGTCAGGGCTCTGATCATTAATGCAGAAAGAGCAGCAAAGGGTGTCGGGGCGGGGGGAAGCTGGCAAAATAATTTGCATTGAGAATGGAAACGTGCCCACAAACATTTGTGCAGAGCTGAAGGAGTTACGTGTTCCCAGGGTAGATGATTTACAGCATTGAACCGGGCAGCTGTGGACTGTACTTCTCTAGAGACGGAAACATGAGAACGCTCTCCCGGCGAAGCGCAGTGCAAAACTTGTATCCACCAAAAAGGGACATGTCGGGGCAGAGGGAGCAGAGTAAATGGAGAAAGGAGCTGATGCCTGGTTCCCAGGCTTTAGGGCAGTTCTGTTTCAAATTAATCTCTCATGCTATGATGAAAATGGCTGGCAGATAAGCAAGTCCCCAGCTAGAGGCCTTGCCCTAGAGACAAGAGCAGCCAAGAGAAGCTACAAAGGACCTTGGGGGTAGAGCTTAGCTAAGAGGTGCAGTAGGAAGAAACCTGAAGGGAACTGAAAAGCACTTGCCCATCCACCCCAGAGAACAAAACTCAGTATAACCACCTCTACAGCCCATATTAAATTCTCAGATACAAGGCACCCCCTGCCTGACCCACAATAGGGCAACATTTTGGGCTAAAATGTCTCCAGGAAGACCCAACCCTGTTGCATGTCTCCGGTGCATGAAGGCATGTCACTGTTTCGACTTCATCACCTAGGTCCTGTGCCTCGAAGTTTCTAAGAGATGATCTCTGAGTTTGCATTGGTTCCTTTGCAGCTTGCTGCAGATGAGACACACACACGTGCTCTTTCCTGGGGACTTTGCATTTGTTCTCTTTCAGCTCCTTAATTTAAACTGAAAGTCTGTCCAATCAATTTACTGCTTGAGCCGTTTTTGATCCTCCCTTCACCGTTGGTTGCCTTTGTGATATCCTCCATACTCAAAGCAACCTGGTCCTTTCCTCGGGAGCTCTCTCTCGCTGGAACAACAGAGCTGTGGGCTACTCCGGACACCAGTTTCACAAATCACTGATTTGAGGGTTTCATTTGCTCTTCCAAAAAAACGACGCAAAATGAAACGGGACATGTTTTTCAAACCAAGCACCTCATTGTACTTTTTGAATAGGAAAAATTCAAGCTTTTTTTTTTTTCTTCATTTTTTACTGATGCAGTTTGAGGAAAGCGGTAGGAATTGGCAGAATGTTTCGGTGGATCCAGACCTTCATTTTTCAGCAGTAAATGATTTGGCCAAAAAAACCCAAACCCTCTATTGCTCAGATGTATTCAAGAGACTGAGAACCCAAGAATTGGACTCTGATCATGAAACTCACTTGTACCAAGGAAAGGAAGGACCATGCATTTCGTTGGGTTCAAGTGGAAAGTCAGCACGCTAGATTTGAAGGCTGGGAGAGCCCCTTTCAGCACCGAGTCTTACCTCCTTCATAATGCAAGCTAGAGGATTTCATGCAGTCATGCCTGCACCCAAGTCGAGCATCTTTCTCAGTATTTCCTTTATCTGCACACCGCAAACTTATCTCTAAACTGATCTAGTTATTTCCTTTGCAGGCTGGGAGAAAAAAGCAAAAAGCATAGAGGTTAGTTTCTTTATTTAAATGCATGATAGAGGTTGGTTTCTTTATTTAAATGGGTGTATTTAGCTATTGCAGGGCAGGCAGCCTGTAAGTCCCCTGAACTAGTCTTGGTTGTCTTCTGTTGCGAAGGGGGAGATGACTCCTAAGGTCACGGTGGTATTGGGCAAGCGACAGACTGGTTGAGTCATCGTTTTGTTTTAATTTGGTGTAGCACCAAAAAGAAAAAGGACCGTGGTTTCTATCAGAATGAAAATCAGTCCCAAGCAAACAGAAACCGAGGCGTGGTTGGAACAGCACAGAAGGGAAGGTGTGTGGGTGTGCGAGTTAAGTGTGTACAGTATTTCTGCCCTGTAACTAAGGAAGTATGAGCACCCTTTTGCCTCCTTGCGCCGGTCGCGAATCCCAGGCCACTTCTGCATCTGGCGCCTGAGGTTTGAAGTTGCTATTTTTCCAGTTGTGATTGCTCTTCAAGAAAAATTAATGGTCTGGTTTTGGGTTTTCTTGGGCTTGGTTTTTTTTTAAAGAATCAATGTTGTTTTATGTCCAAAGCTGCTCCCTACTGGAGTTACACCCCGCTCCAGGGCAGCAGGGGGAATCTATGGGATTTGCTGGTCCCAAGCAGCTTCAGCACTAGCAATCTGGTCCAGTGCAGAAACAAGGATGTGCCACTTTTAAAATTCATCTTCATAAGGTCATGAATAGTCATCACATGGTGTCTAGGAGTTTCACAGAGTCCACCACACCAGCCAAAAAAGCTTCCTCAGCTTGTCACACTTCCTTGTAACACCACCAATGCTGCCCTTCTTGTGTAAAGCAGGCTCCCATATGGAGTATATCACGTGGTCACTTGTGCCAGCAGGGCACTGGGCTCTGATCCAGGCAGACCCTTCCAGTTATTGCATACAGAGATTGCCATAATGCAGGAATCGGACTAATCCAGCATGTCTGTCTCTGAGATGGACTTCAAAGACAATCCCTCATGGATGCTTATGGACTAACCTGCCCAGAAGGCAATTTTCTTCCTGACCTCTAGTAGTTAGCATTTGGTGCCCTGAAACATGAGGGTCTGTATCCCTTCCAAAACTCATGGGCATCTTTTCATTCATCCTGTTTAACTTGGATCAGTTTGCCCTTCAGTCCTTTTCTGAATCTTGCTAAGCTCTGACCTCAGTTACATCCTGTGAAAGCGATAAGTTATGTGTGGTGTGGGCGGGGGAAGCATTTTTCTTTATCTTTATCAAATGTGTCACCTTTCACTTGTACTCATTGCAAAGTGCAAGGATAAGGAGGCAGGTTGAAAAAGAAAACCTCGATCGATCCCTTCTATACTGTTCCTGATTTTGTAGACCTTTATAACGCATTGAGCAGTGCCAACCATACGCTTTATGCTATCGGGATGGGCTGGAAGGTTTTGTGTCGGCGCAGATGCGCTCTCCAATGCTGTGTCTGAAAGGTTTAGGGTCATCACAGGTGGCTTCTGCCCAGAACATGTGTTGGTGCAGCAGGTGAGGGCTGCCTAGAAGTGCCTGCAGGATGGAGCATCCCTGCGGCAGCTCTCTACCTGTGCATTTAGTGGGATATCAGGTGGGCTGTCTCCAAAGGCTCCTTGAGCTCAGCAGGTGCAGTCCACGGGGCTGTACTCATAGCACACAGCAGCACAGCAGGTCCATAGGACCTCAGCCTACCCACCCGAAGCGTTCAGCTGCAATCAGGCAATCAGACAAACGCGCTGAATGCTGCCAGTGGTTTTGCTTTTTGACGTCAGCAGAAGTTAGCAGGCAAACCAAGCAGGCTCCACCCGCCCAGGAGAGCAATTATCACTGCAGTGGCCTATGATAAGGATTGCTCAAGCAGTGTTCCCAGGTGTGTCTTAAGGCAGAGAAAGTGATAGCACAAATCCAAGAGAGGAAGCAAAGGCAAACAGGACTTGGGTTTCACACATCAGATCCACTCGCAGGACAACCAAACCCAGACCTGTCCTGTTAGCATCTCACAGAGATCTGCTTAAGACACTTATTACTATCTACAGATTCCCTCTTTGGCTTCAGTTTGTCTGCTAAACAGCTGCTCCCTAACTCAGCATCAGGGAACTGCTCCTGATAGTCTTGCTCAGGCTAAGAGCGAGCGTAGGAAGGATCTGAAGTCCCGGATTAAAGAGTCTGGGATGAAAGGTGCTTACTTGTTTCTAGGGGCATCCAAATCCCAAGACCTCTGGATTTGGGCCTGCATGCAGGATGCCTGCCAATGGATTTGGAAGCATCTGAAGTCCCAGGGTGAGAGGCTGAGATGAAAGATGCTCCCCCATTGTAGCGCCGTACGTGGTGTTGAGAATGATGGAGTTCGGCCTGCTCAATCAATATGGTTTTTGGAACAGTTGAGTTTTGCTTAATTGATATGATTTGGAACTGATTTGGCTAATTTGACCTGGAACACAAAATATATTATATAAAAAAAAAAAAAAATCAAAATAACCCCCGGTGACCCTTGGTCCCTCATTTAGCCTCATTCCTGTGATGAGAGGAAAAGTGGGTTCATCTCAAAGCTCCCCGTCCTTACACATGGCTGTTGTTCATATCTGCCTGCTGCTAACAGGCATTTACCCCACTGGAGTTTTTCCATGGACTTCAGTGGGCTGCAGCAGGCTCTTGAGTGAGTATGATTGCAGGGGTCATAGCATTATGGACAGCTGCTTGTAGAAGTCCTAATAATAGCCGTGGTATATGAACTCCTAGGCAAGGAGAGTCTTGCAAACAAGTCACCATAGTGTTTGGTACTGTAGCAATAGTTGCTGTCCTAGATGTTACTGACCCCAAGTTGCTGGCCCTATAAGTAGCATGGGTTCAGCACCTTTTTAATACAGCAGGTGCCCCCAGTGGGACCTGATTAGAGGGATGGGAAGGTACTTGAGAGAAGTAAATGGAGGAAGAAGGGCTATTAGATAGTGGTAGGAGTTTCCTAGAGGAGGCACCCCTCTGGGACTCTGCAGGTGTTGGTTGGGAGGCTGATAGCAATAGGAGAAGCAGACTGGTTTGCTCGGTGATCACCCCAAGAGGGAGCGGCAGGGTTGGAGAAGTCTGGAGCTAGGAGGGTTTGCTTGATGACTTGTCTGAGCAGGAGAATAGAGAGCTGGGGGATCAGGAAAAGGACCTACCTGCTGACTTTTCTGAGCTGGTACAACAGCTGTAGGAAAAGTGGAAGAAAAGGTGAGCTGCCAAAGTACCTGCATGTGACTGCCCTACAGTAGTGACTGCCCTGGGAGGCATAGGGTGCAGGGAAGAATTACAGCTCGAAAGGCTGGGGGGTGCAAGGGATGCTGGACTGGGATGCAGGTGTTAGTACACTGTGTTTGGGGAGGTCTGCAGGGACTGTCCCTATGGGAGATGTGCCACAAATGGGGATTGCAAGGTTTATTTTGCACTACTGAAGCTGGTAAACTACCTTAGGTGCAGGTGCATAAGTCTATGGAAGTCTGCAGTGGCTTGAAGTTTGCAGTGGTACTTTCCCCCATCAGCCTCAAGGGGCTGATGGGGAATAGTCGAGGTTAATATAATTCATCCAAAAAGTTGATGGGTCCCCTCCAGCTCCTTGGATCATTTTTGTGAGCTCCTTGGATCATTTTTGTGACTTCAAGCTAAGATGGAGGCTTGTTAGGAAAGTAGATGGATGAATGTTTGTTTGGTTTTGGTTTTTTTGTTTTTTTTTTCAGGGACTCCAGCAGTGTGGGATAGGATCACACTTCGGCACCTTAGTCCATATAATGAGTCACTTTTTTTGTTGCCTCTTAACATGATGTGGTGCATGGGAAGAACAAATGTCGAACAAACATGTTGCTAAATAACATCGGACATTACTAGAACCGTCTTCTTTCCCGGTATCTGCACATAGGACCAGCGCCAGTGAATTGCAGCCATCTCTGGGGAGGAGAGCAGCAACCAAAAACATACAGAACTTTGAACAAGGAAACGGATGGGGAAAATGAGGATAAAAGCAGCAGGGCAAGGCCACAGTCTGCATCCACAGAAATCAAAGGAGTTTGCTCTGAAGCTTGTCATGCTGCAGCTTGAAAGGACCTTGACAGATTACTCAAATTCCCCAAGAAAAATCGTGGCTTCCCAACCTGGGGTTGGACGCAGCAAAGTGCCATACCTTTCTGGACCTAGGGAGCACCCTGACTTCTACCAGGTATCGAGGAGACTAAGAATCTCCTAGGTTCAGGTCTCTGTTGTTCAGAGTTTAATTTCCTTCCAGCATAGCATGGCGCTCTACCCACTAAAGAGAAAAGAAACCAGTCACTGTACCAACACAGTTGCTCTAGGAAGCATAAGTTTACTTTTTTTAATCGCCTATAATTAATGGAAACTGCAGAACAGCAGCATGAAAGAGGATAAATGGAGGGGTTTAAGCATGAAACAGCAGTGACCCTAATGAATTTCCCAGTTAGGATAATAGAGAAGTAGGGCTGGACGGGACCTCCAAAGGTCATCTAGTCCAACCCCCTGCCATCCCTATCCAAACCATCCTACACAAATCCATTGTCCAATCTATTGGCAAAAACTATGCAGTTGACCCTAACACAACCACAAGACGTAACACCCTAACCTGCCACAGGTAAAGCAGAGGGGCCGTGGCGGCCAATGCCTTGCTGCTGCACAGGTAGCTAAAATACACTTGTGAAATCCAGTCTCTAGCGTCTCCAAGTCATTTCCAGTTTGAAGCAGAAGACTTCCCACACCTGCAACAAGAACTATTCTAGATCAGACTATTTAGGAGGTTGCAAATCTAGACCTGGTCTGAACAGGATTCAGCAACTTAATGATTAAAATAGCCTGGACTGCTAGAGCTCCAAGTTTTGGTACCGCTGGTGGATCCAGGCTGGTCGTGGGGGAATTTGGGGTGGGGGATGGCTGGTACAACCTAAACCTTGGTTCTGCTATGGGAGGACTGATTTCAGTAGAGACAGCCATGCTACGGGTCTGCTGAAATCAGTGCGGGGATAGAGGCCTGTCCTCTAGTAAGCACTTGCAGGTCTGGAGTGCAAGTGAATGGCTGCAGAGGAGAAGAAAACTTGATTTTTATGTATTTATTATTTTTTACAAGTCCATTTGGTGTCCCAGCAAAACTACCTTCTAAGACACTAAAGCTTCCTCTGCTTATCTCCCACGTTGGGCTTGGGCCCTGCAGCAAGAGGCAACAATCTGGGGTTGTCCTGCGATCGTTGCATCACATGGAAACACGCTGACTCAATTTTGCAATGTCGTGGTGTGATTCAGAGAGTCTGTCCCACAAGATCCTAAGGATGTGGATCTCGTGGGATCGTCCTTACCACAAAAAACTGCTGTTTTTCTAAGTTCCACCCCCCCCCCCCACCGGGCGCTCTTTTTTTTCCCCGCCGTGTGCCAGAAAAAGGCACGCAGGCCTGGAAACAATGCAGGGAATGCAGCTGCCTTGAAGAAACCAAATGGGTATGGCGAGGAGGCACATAGGTCCTTGGCTGCAGGTTGGTGGAGCTGATGATTGCTCATCTTTATCTGTAAGAATCCTAGTTCAGATAAGGATTGTGGCTTGGATACTAGACAAGCAGGAAGGATGAGGCATACAGAATATTTGGGCAAGCTGCAAAGTGTGTGTGTGTGTCTGACAGTGCCAGCATATTAAATGGGGGTGTGAATGGGATGTGTGTGTGGCTCAGATGATACGGAAGGCAAGCAGGAGAGATCAGACATAGAGAATATTTGGGCAAGTTGCAAAGAGTGTGTGTCTGACAGACAGTGTCAGCATATTAAATGGGGGTGTGAATGGGATGTGTGTGTCACCCTATGGAAGGCTTATTGTGTGGCTGCAAATGTATGTGCTGGGGTCAAAAAAGTGGTTGTGTCAGAGGGAGATGGAGCTGTATGTGCATCCGTTAAGCCCTGCTACACATCCAAATGAAAGGTGGATAGAAACCAGCTACAAAGTTGTGACGTTTTCAAGCACTAAGTGTAGAGCTGCTTGGCTCTGTGTCATAGCTGGCTAATCCGTTTTTATCACATGATAATTACTTTGCAGGTAAATGTATTGTGTGATTTGCACTTAATTGCATAATGTGTGTAAAGTGTAGCAGAGAGCTTTGTGAATGTGGGAGCCCGGCATGGGGCTGCTGTGTGGGGAGATGGGCTGTGTGTGTGGACATGGTCAGCATGGGTGAATATATATATATATACACAGAGAGAGAGAGAGAGATGAGGCTGTGTATGGGGGTGGAAGTGTGTTTGTGGGGGAAGGAGTCAGCAAATGTGGAAGAAGTGAGTGTGGGTCAGTGTGTGCATCAGTGTTGGGGGAGATCAGGCTGTGTCTGGGGTGTCACCATGTGTGCTGTGGGGGTCAGGCTGGGTGCAAGGCTGTCTGGAAAGGCGGGGGGATGGGGAAGGGAAGAATTGTGCCTGGAGGCATCCAGAAGAGTCCCCGTGCCCGTGTGTGTGTTGGGCTGGCTGGTGGGAGGTCAGGCCTGGGGCTGCGCCTCGCTGTAGTGTGGATCCGAGCAGGCCTGGAGGAGCTGCAGGAAGTGGGTGCTGGGGTGCGTAGGCAAAGCTGCCAGTGCAGGGGAGGTGGAGCGGGGTGTGCAGCACTGTGAACCCCAGTGTGTGTGTGTGTGTGTGCGCGTGCATTTGAGCAGGCAGAAGGCGGTGCTGGGATGCAACTGTGTGAACCCCAATGTGCGTGTGTGCACCCAACTGCTAGCATGGGGGACCATAGCTGGGTGTGCATCACTTGTGTGAACCCGTGTGTGTGTGTGTGTGTGTGTGTGTGTGTGGAAGGCCCACTGTGCAAGGGAATCAATGTGTGTGTGTGTAACTGCTAGTATGGGAGACCAGAGCTGGGTGTGCATCACTTGTGTAAACCCGTGTGTGTGTGTGTAAGGCCCAGTGTGCAAGGGCATCAATGTGTGTGTGTGTGTGCACCCAACTGCTAGCATGGGGGACCAGAGCTGGGTGTACATCACTTGTGTGAACCCGTGTGTGTGTGTGTGTGTGGAAGGCCCACTGTGCAAGGGCATCGATGTGTGTGTGTGTATGTGTAACTGCTAGCATGGGAGACCAGAGCTGGGTGTGCATCACTTGTGTGAATCGGTGTGTGTAAGGCCCACTGTGCGAGGGCATCGATGTGTGTGTGTGTGTCCAACTGCTGGCATGGGGGACCAAAGCTGGGTGTGCATCACTTGTGTGAACCCGTGTGTGTGTGTGTGTGTCCCAACATGCAGTTGTGCATGCGTGACCCCCAGTGCATGTGCGCGTGTCCCCGCCGGGCGTGCACCCGTGTGAGCCAGTGCGTGTGTCAGGGCTGCTGTGCGCGTGCGTGTGTCCCCGGCAGGGCGCGGGAGGCATCCGTGGGAACCCCCCTCGCGCAGGCGAGCCCGTGTGCGTGTGCGTGTGCGTGTGCCAGGGCCGCTGCGCGTGTGCACCCCCGCGTGCGTGTGCGTGTGCCCGGCGGGGCATGCGCAGGCCCGGCGCGGCTC